TTTTGAGCTTTGGACATTTCTTGCCATAGCTGTGCTGCCTGCCTATTTTTATCTGTTCTGCTGGCACCAGTACAGGTATCTGTTGGGTTTGAAAAAAAGGCAAGGTATATTCTCATTTTTATCAATTAAACGTCGGGTTAAGCAATTATTTAAATCCTTTCTCAGTTATGACTTGTTCTTTATATGGAGCTGTTAAGGTGCCGTCAAACAATGCGTTCCTTTGTTAGACTTTTGATCGACGACAGTCAAAACGCCGCATGTTTTGAGCAGGGTTAATTTGAGCTTGTACCGAATTTGTCGAGGTCGCGTAGTTTTGAAAACCACGGTTATATTCCATCAAAAAAATAAAACATCGTAATCCCGCACCAAAAAATGGTCAATCCCGCAAGCCCAAGCGACCCCTCGTATCGTACCGTGCATATCGATCGTTACGCTGAGCTGGTACGTAAGATTGCCATAACAACGGCCTATAAACAACTAAACGCATGAAGATCGAAAGTTTCACGTAAGAACTCTTTTTACACTAGGAGAATACTCACCAGACTTWAAAAATTCAGCACAAAATGCGTTGTAGCAATTTGGGCMTTTTATAAAGCTAGGAGCTTTTCTTTTGGGTGGTTGTGGTGGAGTACTCGCGTCCGGCRTTCCTGTCGATGACTGTTCGAGCTGTATACAACTGGCCCCTCTTTTACGTTTGGATGTTTCATTACCTATCCATTTCTAATATTTTAACGAAATAAAAAAGAGTAGTTCTTACTTTTATACGAGCAATTATCAGTAACTAACACGAATCACRAAGCTCATAATTACAACACGCCGTGATCTGTGACAGCCAACCATGCCAGCTGACAAAAGACGCGTGTAGCGAAGAAAGACTATAATCTTTAAATTACTGTGTCTATAGACTAAGTAATTGACCGTTTGTAAAGAAATATTCTTCGATTCAAACTTACCTTTACTCTTTCTTCGTCAAGATTGGATTCTCCTGCTGCGCGTTTAACTTGTTCTTGATAAGCGGCAGCCTTACTTGTCATGCCGTTGTTGTAAAAACGCATTAAAATAGTTCGTTGCTGGTCTGTTATCTTTTGATATCTTTGCCGACCACTCATTGTTAACAGAAATTCGTTTAAAACTTGATTCGAAATTTATGTAATCGAAAGAGTCTTACAATTCAGCTATTAACACGGCAATAGTGAAATACGAAATAACCTTCATCTGACTGGCRAAGCTTGCTTGACTKGCTAGAGCTTTCGCACATTCATTTAAATGATTTGATTGGCTAAAATAAAACAATTGAACCATGTTCCACTTCAGTTGGTTTAGAGTACAGTCTGAAGAGGGTCCGACCCAAAGATCTAAATTTAGATATTGGGGTCGGACCCAGTTTAGATCAAGCGAAGATGGTGAATTTAGAAGTTGATTTTTACGGAGTGAGGCAAAAACTAGAGAACCTGGAGAAAACCCTCGCAGCACACGAGATATTCAACAAACAACTCCACTCACGTACGGTGACTACGAGTGCGGGAAGCAAACATGGGTCGCCGCCTAAGGTTGCGTTTTACGCCGTAGAGTTGTACGTTTAGGGATATCGTTCAGACTGAGCTATCCGAACAAAAATTCGCACGCCTAGTCGTGCAAATTTGAATTCGGTTCAGTGTAAACAGAACTACGTATTTTTATACAATTAAAGAGACGGTTCCGTGTAAATGGTATGGGCAGTTTCAATTCATCCAGTACCGTGTAAAGCAGCCTAAGTGAGAGGAGAACACTTTCTATTT